CACAGGCTCAGGTCAGCATCCGAGCACGGCGCTGCTGCCGCCAAAGGAATGGGCTCTTCTTGGAGGCCCTTGAGGTCGGCCAAGATGCGTCGACGTGCGGCTTGGCTCAGTGGAGTCGCGGAAGGCATGGCGATTTGTGTGGCGTGAAGACGTGGACGTTCTTTGCAACTGCTTGAGCATGGAAGGGCGCTCCAGCCAGGACAGCAAAAATTCTTTGCAGCTTGCGCTGAGGGAGAGCCTCCCCACACCCCGGCATTTGTGAGATCTCCGGGCTTTAAGAATTCGGCCAAGTCTCGGTCCGGAATCAAGCGCGCCACGGAGAATAGCTCGAAGCAGCACCAAATCCTTGCAGAACGTAGATCTGCGTTGAGCATGGATCAGGGGCATGCAGCGGCATGCAACTGAGTCAACGTACCAACGAAGAGCAAGCTCCGAAACACGAACGAACTTGCGTAGACTGCCTACTGAAAACGTACGAAACAGCAGAACTAAGATAACTTTGCCGAAAGCCAGACTTTTGCACAGTCCGCGTGCTTTCTGATTGGCGAACTCGCAACCTGGTGTAGATAATCGCGCGGTCGTCCAGCACAGCCACGACATCGCTGACAGCATCCTAGACCCGAGCAAGCTCGACAACTGACACCCCAATGTAAAATAATGTGGGTTCTGACGGCGACTGACTAGGAAGAAGGAACGGGTTGGCTTTCAAGCTGCTTCAGGGTCGATGGTTGAGAGAATTGTCAATTCTAGGTCTTGACGTGGCCACTAACTCTCGGGAAGCTGGCATTTCGCTAGACGCTTCACATTGCTGAATGTCACCGAGAGGCCAGTGCAGTGGCAAAAGCGCTTGTCATGACGGCTGTCCGCGGCGTCACATCGCTACTAGCAGGGGTCCAGCTCACGCCACTGAAGACTCACCGAACTCAAGGTACAGCTGCTAAGCAACAGAAGGCATCAAGCTGCTGCATGACAAAGTGACAGAAACCACGCCCTAAGAGCCTGAAGTCACCAAGGGCATGCTCGATGGCGTACTGATTGTTGGCAAAGGCGCAGATCCTCTTCACAGCAGCTGCATAGCAAAGTTCCAGTTTCTGCAGAAACTAGTTACGAGTTGGGGACCCACTTGATTCCGTCTCGAATCAAAGCCACAGGGCAGAGACTCAGAGAGCCTTCGACGATAACGAGGGCAGTGATGCCCAGTCCGAAGCCAAGGCACCAGAAGGCCCAAGTCTTCGGATTGCGATGCGGAGTGGTGCAAACTGTCCACGGAAGTCGCCGGCTGCGTGCTTCCTGAACGTCCGCAGCCCACAAATTCAGGGACAAGCTCTACAAAGCATGAGACATGTTTGAACATCACGGTTCAAATGATCCAGTGTAGTCGCTGCATTGTGTTGCAGTGCAGCTTCAGCTTTGCAATGGCCACAAAAGTGTCGACATGTGTCGACGAACGTCCAAGTCAAGGCAAGCAACCGCAAAGCATGTGAGCGTGCGCACGAACTTCGGGAACTCCTGCTTTGTCGGCGCCAGGTAGTGCGTGAGTGCACAGTACTTTTTTGCAGCAAAGTCAATCTCTGCCATTCGATAACTGAGACAGCAAAGATTGCAAAGATCGCTGCTCGAGGCAAACCGAAGTCCTCGCCCCACCAGTGAGACACGAAGGTATCAGGCTTTACGCCCTCCATCTCCTCGCCTCACAGCTGTCACACTTCCTCCCCAAGCAACGTCGTCTAATGTCGTCTACTGAGACTACTTTCTTTGTCGAGATGCCTTCGGGTCCGCGCCGCAGAAGCTCCACATAGCTCACCCGCAGCTGCGCACAGATGGGCTTCACCCTCGGTAGTGGGCCAGCACGAGCCAGCTCACTGGCAAACGCCCAAGAGCACTCACATTCTGGCGGGCCGCATGTGTTCAACAACCTCATAGAGGTTCCGCTCCTCCCACCGTCCTTCACTCCGGCAGAATGTGGGATGCACACTTGCTGTACTTGGGGCTGCGGACAAATTCGGAAAACAAATTCGAGAACGGGGAGGACCAACTTCAGCACAGGAGAAGTCAAGAAGAAAACAGTTCGGAAAACAGGAGAAACAACCTCAGAAGCGCCCCAAACCCTAAACTCCGAGATCCAAAAACCTAAGCCTTAAACCAACATCCTCTCCGCTTTCCGCATCACATGCCTGAATCCACCGGCAAGATTTCCGAAGCGCCCCACCGTTTTTCGGGATTTGTGTTCCCGAGTCTCCCGGTTGTTTTCGGAACCAGGCTACTCACGTGAAGAAGTTACCAAGGCTAGTTTAAGGGCTTGCAGCCATTTACAAGTGATTGCCAACCCGACTCTGCATGCTCCGACACTTTGACTGACAGGCACAAGATTAACGTATCGCAGGCCCTGATCTGATGGGTTGTGGTTGCCGGTAGTGGGAAAAGACCTGTGATGCAGTCTCATCAACAGCTGCAGATGCAGTACTTGTGCAATTACAACATTGTTGTGATGCAACAGCCCCACCAGCAATTACAACATTGTTGTGATGCAACAGCCCCACCAGCGTTAATCACACACTACCCGCATCCACGTTCGAGAGAACTCACTGATCAGCAGCCACGAGCACAGAGTGGCATGAAGCAGATTTTGCATGCAGCAGTATGACCCTCCTATCCCAGACCAACCCAACCGATGATAGGAAAACGAGAGATAGTGAAATGAAGCTGCCTTCTGTTCATCCGGCCAACCCTGTGGCCCCAGAAAGCATGATGGCATGACGGCATCCGTGCCTGGTCCGCCCTCGGCACCACAGTGGCTGCAGCGGCCGTGGGTCTCTGGCTTGAATCGGTTGAAGCACATGCGCCAAGCCCTCTTCTCTTCAGCCACTTTCCTCTCGATGCCCGCGAACACCCTCGGCAAGATCAGATTAGGTAACAAACAAGTCAGTGCCTTAGCTGGGCACCCGGTGCACTGAGCATGCGGCGCGCCGATCTGCTCCACGACCTCTTCGGCAAAGTTGTCGTCGGATCCGCCCTCGTCTTCTCCTTCTTCCTGCGTCCGCGTTTCGGCTTCCTGTGTCGGCCTCAGCCGGAGCGGAACGGACTCAACTCGGGCCTTTTGCGTGATCAAGGGCCCCGGCTCAGGTTCCACGCATTTCTCACAGCAGCAGGACCTACACGAGCGCAGCGGTCGATCTCGCATGAGGTATATGTGACAGATACATGCCGCCACCATTCGATCTTTAAGTGCGGCTATGAAGCTTGTGGCAGATCCCGCATCTCCACCTCGCAGTAAAGGCTGAGCTGCGGACACGCAGGGAAGCACTGGACTCTCAGCCCGAAGTCCAAGACTCCGGAGCCGACTGTCATACTGCCTCTCGAAACTGAAGCTTTCTTTTGTACGACCGGGCCATGGCCTCTGCGCTTCCAGCCAGCTGGATTCGGGGTCATAGAAGTCCCAGAGCTCTTGCACGGTTATGCCCCTGTGACCTTGGCTCAGAGTACTGGACTGGCCAGAGTACATGACAAAAACAACGTCGTCGCCAGGAAACGGCTCCTCACTTGATCACGATACTACCAGTAGCCAGCACCAGTGAGCAAGGTTCTACGGAATTGGAAACAGCACAATCTAGTGCTGATACTGACACTAGCACTGGAACGGGTATCAGTTTAGTACCGACTGTTACTGTTCTAGTGCTGGTGGAGGGGTGGTGGTGGTGCTACTTGGTGCGGTATCTGTAGTGGTACTTAAGTTGTGTTGATGGCATTGGTGGCAGTGGTGGCATTGGTGGCAGTGGTGGCAGTGGTAGCAGTGGTGGCAGTGGTGGCAGTGGTGGCAGTGTGGTGGCGGTGGCAGTGGTGGTGGTGGTGGCAGTGGTGGTAGTGGTGGTGGTGGTGGTGGTGGTGGTGTTGGTGGTGGTGGTGGTGGTGGTCGTTGCCGTAGTAGGAGCAGCTGTGGTAGTTTTCGAAGTAGTAGTCGTCGTGATAGTGATAGTCATAGTGATAGTGATGGTGATCGTGACAGTGACAGTGACGGTGACAGTGAAAGTGATAGTGATAATGACAGTGATAGTTATGGTGGCAGTGGTAGTGGTAGTGGTAGTTCTATACTGATGCTGGTGCTGGTACTGGTACTGGTGCTGCTGCTACTACTACTACTAGTTACTACTA